TTACTCCCACATCCACCACCTCAGTCTTTTTACATGTGCATTTGCTCTTCTCATTTATATTCTTGTCATCTGCTTTCTAGTAACTTTCATTATAGTTTTTTTCTTTCCATTTATACCCACAGTAACTTAGTAGTGCTACTAGTGTCCATTAACTCCTTAAAACACTTGGAACTTATAGGGTCACTGTTTTGTAGTTGACTATTACTGTGCTTTCATAGTTTTATTTTCTGTATTGGTAACTGTTGTTACAGGCCGTATTCCACTCTGAGAGAATAGGCCCTGGTACCTTGAACAGCAGTCACACAAACAAAAACTACTACTACTACTACTACTACTATGACAACATAGTCCCTCTGGAGCACTGTAAATATTCCCACTGAAATGAGGAAGGGGATCCTCCCCCAATCCTGCAACTAGTAGTTTAAACACAAATGTTCAAGTCTCAATGCAAAAATTCGAGCCACATATAAAAACCAAGACAACATTTCTTCTTCAGAACTGCCAATCCCAGATTAATGGTCGCTAATGACAGTAACTTAGGTAACAAAGAATTAGTAAGAATGACTTAAAATATCTTCAAAGTAATTAAAAACGATATAAATATACAACTCAATGACTCAAGGAAGTCAATATAAATCATGAAAATGGAATTCAATAAAGCTATATTTCTCTCATTGAAGTACTAAGCATTTCTGAGCCTGCTTTACTTCCAGCACCAGACAAAAATCAGGCACATTCAGAGTACTATGTCAACAGAAAATACAGACCTCAACTAAGGATTTCAATTTTGTTAGATGGATAAGAAGCAATAAAATACCCAGGCCTTTCAGTCTTGAGATCCCAAGGCCATTTGTCTCTGTTTCCTTTCTTTTGTTTATGATATTTTGTTTGCTTTCATATTGTAATGGGACTCATTAATATTCATTCTTTCCTCATTCACCATAAATATGGTTATATACTAAGTATGTAAAATCTTCTGTACCCACTTAGGTTTCTTCTGTAGATAAACACATAATCCCTTTTAACAAAATACTTATAATTGACAGATAATAATTCTGTATATTAATATATTATAATGTGGTTTTCTCTAAGGAAAAAACTCTTTGTAGCCTAGGCTGATCTCAAACTTATGGTCCTTCTCCTTCAGCCTCCAAAGTGCTGAGCTTATAGTTATGCTCCATGTCTAAACAATGTGATGTTTTCTTATGTGTCTACATTATTGAAAGACTCAAAGCTAATTAACATTATTACCATAAGACCCTTCTATTTTTCAATATTTTTTTGGTTTTTTTGAGACAGGGTTTCTCTGTATTGTTTTGGAGGCTGTCCTGGAACTCGCTCTGTAAACCAGGCTGGCCTCGAACTCACAGAGATCCGCCTGCCTCTGCCTCCTGAGTGCTGGGATTAAAGGCATGCACCACCAACACCTGGCTTTTTTCAATATTTTTCTAATAACTCCGGATTACAGAAAATTGAAAAATAACATGTAGATAAGTCCATTTATTTCTGTAAGCACTTGGGTGTTTATAATGTGTCAAGAGCTGTAACCTCTTAGATGGATGAACTTAGTGTATCACATAATTGTGAGGAACATTACATTTCAGTTTACTGGAAAGGGGATAATGTTACAAAAGTAGTAGAATCTAGTGATGTTGTAATAGTCATGGTCATTGTTTTTTAGTTCTCTTTATACTTTTGGGATACTTAAAATCTTAGATGAAGCCATACTGATGAGTACTCTGCTCTTTCTTTCTGTAGACTTCTAACCATCTCATTGAGTTAGATATCTGGCCAATTATTGATAAGGTCAGCCTTCCTATGGGAGTTTTCCTGACCTCAATGTGGGGTACTGCTCTAGAATACTGCCTTGCACACTGTTTTTCCATGTGGACTTGATGGTCGTGTTTCTCCTGAGCATATTTTAATATAGGAGGCCCCAACTGAATTTGTTCATTTAACCAGTGCGATCGTTCCCTATTTGTCAGCATCTGCTGTCTTACTTTGAGTAAGTAAATTTGCTTTCCTAAGTCCCAGGTCAGGTCAGCTGCCATGAGGTGTAGTGTGGTTCTATGATTTTCCAGTTCTTGCATTCTTAGTGGGTGGGTGGTGGGCTTTAGGTCCTGAGATGTGTTTAGGTCTGCTCCTCTTCCTGATCCAGCAGTTTATGGAGTGTTGGAATCTACCATCAACATAGTTTGCTGATATTTAAGGGATAGGGAGATATAACTCTCATCCTAGCTAGGAAGAAATACTGACCGATGCTAAATTGATTGGTATTAACTTTTACTCATGTCTCTCAGGCTTCTATTTTCTTATCTCTTCATTCCTACATAAATATTTCTTATTTATTTTGTTAGGTTTTCTGTTGTTTGGTTAGATTTTATTTTGTTCCATCTGTTTTCATACATATTCTCCTGTTCCCTTTATGAGTGTCCTTATCTGCAAACCATATGAATTATGTGTAATTCATACCTTATTTTCTCTTTATTGCATCCCTTATTTTTCTTTGTTGCCATCCCTTAGGTATCTTTGAACTATGTTTACCCTGACAAAATCCCAAATTCCTCTTTTTATTTAATTTTGCCTCACTTTTCCTCTGCTGTTCTTACAAGAATCTCTAACAACAATTGGAATTGAATAAGCTCTAACAATTGAAGTTGAAAGGATGGCTATATTTATTATTACTGTACCAGAATAATGTACCTATCCATCAATTATTGCTGCTTCTGCAGTTAGTATTATGTTCTCAGAATGGTAGCAGAGATTGTGGCTAGTATTATGAACAGGTAGATCAAGGGTTTAGTTACTGAGCTACACCCCCCAGTTCAGTGGGGGAGGTCCAGTGGCTCAATCATAATGTAGGCTAACACAATTCTAACAATGCAAACAATTACCCTTGCTGTTTTTTAATACAGTCATATACTTAAAATTTTCAGGCCGGAGAGGTAATCTCAGGTGTGAAGTTACCCATGTGGACACGGACACACACACACACACACACACACACACACACACACACACACACACACACTAAAGTAGCAAGCACAAATCACCTGAAAATTGCTAATTCCATAGTAATAAATTTAAATCAGAGTGAATTAGATGAAGTCTTGGTAAAAATGTTCAAAATGTAATAAGAATGTTTAACAAAATCAAAGACACCTGAGTTAACTTAAAGCAAAATAAAACTAAATGAAATAAGGAAGTCAACACTGGATATTTGAAAGAGGAATTTAACAAAGAGACAGAATGCTTGTAAAAAAAACAAATTGAAATTATATAAATGAAAAGCTAAGTGAGAAAATGCAATTCTCGGTAGAATGCCTCATCAGTGGAATGGATAAAGTGCAAGAATATCAAGTCTTAAAGCCAAGGAAGATAAATGAGAACATCTAGACAACAGCAATGATAAAATAATAAGTACCTACAAACAGAACAGAAGATGTATGAGATTACATTAAAAGAACAAATTTCTAAAGAATGAAAAAGAAAAGTAGAAATTCAAGGTAAAGTCTTGGATAAAATATTCAATAAATTCTCAGCATAAAACTCCTGAGTCTAATGAAAGCAATAGCAATCTAGATACAGAAGGCTTTTTGAACATTAAGCAGACAAGATCAGAAAAGAATCTCCTTAGAATAGATTACAGTTAAACATTAATCATACACAACATAAAAAATTGTCTTGGATAAAATATTCAATAAATTCTCAGCATAAAACTCCTAAGTCTAATGAAAGCAATAGCAATCTAGATACAGGAGGCTTTTTGAACATTAAGCAGACAAGATCAGAAAAGAATCTCCTTAGAATAGATTACAGTTAAACATTAATCATACACAACATAAAAAATTTGAAAGCTGCAAAAGAAAACCAACAAGCCACATATAGTCAAACACATTTGAATAACAGCAGGTTTCTCACAAAAAATTCCGAAAGCTGAGAGGGTGTGAAAAATGTACTCCAAGTTCTCTAAAGACATTAACTGCCAAATCAGATTACTATATCCAGAAACACCATCTTTCACAATTGGAGAAAGGAAAACTTTCCATGATGAATACAAACTAAAGGAATTATAGCCATGAAACGTGTACTGAACATTGGTAAAACCCAATTTCATAAAATAAATACTAATATCTATAAAGACATGTGTTTGATTAGAATGCATATTAAAGTTAAGATGCACTTATCTAGGAAGATGTCCTCCTCTCCTTGTTCTCTTTGTTCCTTCTTCGTTTTCTTCAAGATTTCTCCTTCTTATTCCCTTTGCCTGCCAGCCCCACCTATCCTTTCTCTTGCCTTGCTATTGGCTGTTCAGTGCTTTATTAGACCACCAGGTGTCTAGACAGACAAAAATCACATCTTCACAGAGTTAAACATATGCAACACAAACAAAAGCAACATATCTTTACATCATTAAACAAATGCTCCACAGCATAAATAAATGTAACACACCATAAAATAATCCACAACAGTAAATAAATAAATAAAAGTAATATCTAAAAATAGATAGAAGAAGAATCCATAAAGGTGACTGAAAAGAATTTAGCCAGAAATAGAATGGGAACTTGAATAGCTACTTCTAAAGAGGTGTTCATGAAGGAAGATAAATAAGAGGCTATTTAATGGCGATTATCACAAGTGGAAGTTAAAAGATGATTGTTAGTTTTTGCAAGACTGTTGTTACATAAATTATGGAAAGAAAAGCCATAATGCATTCATTTGAAATATGAATAATAGGTAAGAAAATAGAAACTATTCTTTTAAGAAACACAGATATGAATGGAAAAAAATGTTAGATATAGGATTCAAGTATGCTGGAAGGATTTCCGCCACTATGTTGTTATATATGTTCCTTTTTGTCTTGCTGGTTTCCCACCACTTTTTCTTTCAGTTTTTAAACTTTGTTATCACAGTATCTGTTGGGATAAACTTATTTAGACTGCATCCGATTGTTGCAAAGCAAATTCCTATGCTTACTTTTCTCTCCTTTGTCCAAGCAGATAGTGTCTATGTCCAGGGTTAAGGGAGGAATGTTGAAAAAGCCCCAAGACTGATGCAAAGCCTGGTCACACTGAAGGTATGAGACCACTGTAGTATTAAATTACATCATAGGCCTATACCATGTTTTATTATTTCCCATCATGACAATTGGTTTCTAGATCATAGATCTAGAGGTTCAATCTGTGGAGTTTCTTCCTCATTAATGGGTTTAACCATGATATACCTGGTACTGAGTTTCAAGTCTTCCCTCTCCTGTACCCAAGTAAGTGGTGTGTGTACACTCTTCTGTGTGGAATTCAGGGAGTATCACATGGGCAATGCACTTATGCCTTTCTTGCCCACTAAAAGAAAGCACAATGATCTCTTTTTCTTGGCTTCTATTAATGTATTTTAATGCATGTATGAATGTTGAACTTCACATTTTTGTGGGAAAACAACTGAAACAGTTCTTATTTCTCCATCTTGATCAACCTGTACCCAATCTTAATTCATTTTTTAAATGGGAAGGATAAGGTGAGGTGAAAAAAGCCACTGGAGGGAGAAAATTGAAAGATCTTTGAGGGAATAAATTATTGAGTAAAACAGTTTTAAAGGTATGGAATCAAGACCACATTTGAAGTAATTAGTCTTATTGAGGAAGTGACACTCCCTCCGTTTGTTTTTAGTACATATTAATTGTATAAAGCAATGAATTTCATTATGACTTTTCCATACTCATATATAGTATACTTGACTTATATTCATCCCTTTTGTGATCTTTTCTTATTCTCCCATATCCCCCTTTATTCTTTCATGTACTTAGTAGTGCTCCTGTTATGTTCAATTCCTCCCCTTTAAATATCACATATGAGAGAAAACTTGTAATATTTGCTTTTATGAAACTATGCAGTTGTGTTTAACATGATCTCCAGTATCATCATTTTTCTGAAAATTACAAAATTTTGTTCTTCATTATGGCTGAGTAAAACAAATGCCTGCCACCACTATCTGGGCCAAGGATCTCTATCAGAACAGATAATAGGCTATAATGGAGAATCAAACACTGTTATTTGTTAAATGGACAGGGTATTAAAATGACTCCTAATGACTTATTGTTCTACCCATAGGTTAGTATATCACTAAACCCTTATCAGATTTCACTGTCAGCCACCGCTGAAAATCAAATGAAAAATTATGTAAATAAATCATTTTATGCTCTAAAATTCAGGCCACTATTACCTACTATTATAGGCAGGATGGTGAAATATTATGTCTTCCTATTCTGTCCCACTCAGTCCTGAATAATCCTTTTGTCTAGTGTATATATGCGGAATACAGTTGTCATGTGTTGTCCATGTAGTAGGTGTATAGACCATGAGTTCAACTGTCACAGAGTCTCAGTGCTTGTGTTTAAATAAGACTTACTCTACTCAGTATCTCCAAAGCACAAGAGTAATAATGCTATAGATTCAGATATGCTGAAAGTGCTTCCTATAAATGAAAAGGTAAGAGTTCTTGAATTCACAAAGTAAGAATACATCTTCTATTCATGAAATTATAAAGAAGGAAAAATAAGTCGATGTTAGTTTTCCAGCTGAACCTCAAATAGCAAAAGTCATGGTCACTGTGCCTATTTAGTCCTTAGATTAGCATCTATAACTTTAGGAAACCCATGGAGAGTTTGGAACGTATCTTTTATGAATGAAAGTGGAAAGGCACTAATGCAGCCCATAAAATACATCTACTACATTTTTTGCATCACTTTGAATGCATTAGCAATGAACTCAGAATCCTCCTGCCAATAGTGTGCTGATATTGCAGTAAGAAAATGAAATTAAAAAGCCTGTTCAAGCACTAGTGATAAATCCTGGTCCCACTGCCAGTGACTCCACAGACTTCCCAAGCCACACAACTGTTACCCACTTTCAGAGGGCCTAGTTTGGTCTCATGAAGGTTCCCATGCTGTCATTGCAGAGTCAGTGAGCTCCCACTTGCTCAGGTCAGCTGTCTCTGTGGGTTTCCATAAAATGGTCTTGCCCCCTTTACTCATATTATCATTCCTCTCTCTCTCTTTGACTGGACTCTGGAAACTCAGCCCAGTGCTTAGCTGTGGATTTCTTTATCTGCTTCTATCAGTTTCTGGATGAAGGTTCTATGATAATAATTCAGGTAGTCATTAATCTGATAACAGAGGAAGGCCATTTCAGGTACCCTCTGCACTATAACTTAGGGTCTTAGCTGGGGTATTCCTTGTGGATTCCTGGAATTTCCCTAGTGCTAGGTTTCTTGATAGCCTCCCCAATGACTTCCTCAATTTTTGGAGGGATACCTTGCTCAACCTAGATGTAGGGGGGAGGGCCTTGGTCCGGCCTCAAAGTGATGTGCCAGACTTTGTTGACTCCCCATGGAAAGCCTTACCCTCTCTGGAGAGTGGAGGGGAGTGGGGTGAATGGAAGGTGGGGGGAGCAGGAGGACTGGAGGGGTGGGAACTGGGATTGGTATATAAAATAAGAAAAGATTGTTTTAAAATAAAAAATGATAAAAAAGAAAATGAAATTAAATGAACTTGCCATTCCTGGTACTGGGGATTTTGTTACTCTGTATTTCTTATTGGGAGTATTGTCAATCCAAGAGACTTGCATACATATAGGCACACATGCATCCCTTATGTGATTCTTTGGGTCTTTATCAAACAACCCTGGTGTTATTTTTTCCCTCACCCCACCCTTTCCTAATGTATCATTCTTCCTGCTTCTCAGTTGAAGACTCTCCCCACTATCCCATTTCGCACCTCATACTATCTGTATCCTGATATCCCCTTCCCATCCCACTTCCTAATGTGGTTTCTTTATACTTTATACTTTCTTCGTTTCTGGGGTTACTCCATGTTGTGTTCTTACCATCTAGAGAATACCCTTCAGGGATTTTGATGCAGAGGGAGAATATCATATTACAATGGATATTTCTACTACATAAACAGAATAAAAAACTAAAAACGTATATAGAAAAGATTTCTGATTTGATTTTAAAAGGTAAATTAAGACTTCATCTACAGACAGGAAGGGACCCAGCAGAAATTATAGTACCTCTAACTAATGAGGAAATTTCCTCCTAATGGAAAGGTAATGAACATTGACAAAGGGCTTGCAGTAATTTTTTGGGAACGATTAGCAACAATTATCCCATAAGTGAGAGAATAAAATTCATAAAGAAAACTATTTGGATCCTTCCACACATTGTAAGAAAAACACCAATCTCTGGAGTCCCTACATTCTGCACTGATGAAAACAAATCAGGTAAGGCAGGATATAAATCAGGAAATATAAGTATAGTCGTTCACTTATAACTCTGTACAAAAGGCAGAATTGTATGGCATTCTCATGGTACTTATGGATTTTACAGAACCTCTCAATATAGTTACTGACTGTCAATGTGCAGAGAGAGTCATCTTACACATTGATACTACTGAATTTATTCCTGATGATACAGAATTAACTTTATTGCTTATGCAATTATAAGAAACAATCAGGAAAAGGAATTATCATATATATATATATATATATATATATATATATATACACATCAGATCCCACATGGGTCTGCCAGGTCCTCTATCACAAGGCAATGATGAAATTGATCATTTATTAATAGGAAGTGTGCTGGAGGCCTTAGAATTTCATAAAAACATGTTAATAATAAAGGTTTAAAAAGGTATTTTTCCATCACTTTGTAACAAGCTATGAAAATAGTAAAAAAAATACCCTTTTGTAATCAAACTCCTTTACCAGCAGGTAGTAACCCTAAAGGCATACATAGAAATGAAATCTGGCAAATGGATGTGTTTCACTTTGCAGAATTTGGAAAATTAAAATATGTGCACCATACAATAGACACATTTTCACGGTTTCAGTGGGCCACTGCTCTGAGTTCTGTAAAGGTGGATTCTGCTATTATACATCTATTATAGGCAATGGCCATTATGGTTATACCTGCACAAATAGAAACTGACAATGTTCCAGCATATGTCTCTACCAAATTGAAACAGTTTTTAAAATATTATAACATAAAGCATATAAGTGGTATACCACACAATCCTACAGGACAAGCAGTGGTTGATAAAATGCTTTATAAACAGGCAGGGGGAGGAAAGACCCCCAAACACAGATTACATAATGGTTTATTAACATTAAACTTTCTTAATGCTAATGAGAAAGGAAAAACAGCTGCAGAAAGACACTGAACAATAGAAAAACTTCTGAACTAAATAAGCTGGTGTCCTTCAAGGATGTATTGACCTCAGTATGGAAACCAGAATATGTGTTATGTTGGGGTAGGGGTTTCGCCTTTGTTTCTGCAGGAGAAGAAAATCTTTGGATACCATCAAAGTTGATCAAGATCCGGTTTGAAGAGGAGAAACCTCTGGATGAGGAAAAATGATAGGTCACCCACTAAGGTATATCCCCCACAAGTTATATGGCAACCTCACAAAGGTAGGGGGAGTGATTTGTTCTTGTCTTTACAACAAAACCCATCTCCAAAAAGCAAAAAGACACCAAACGTATAGATGCCTAAAGAGAGGATAGCTATCCAGAAAGAACCATCATACAAAGAAGAATCTGACATATGGTGAAATATTTATAGTACTGTTTCCCAGCTTCCAAGCACTACCATAGTCCCTATTCACATAAAAATCAAACCTGGCTTTGGAGTTGGACTTGACCCTCCTTCTCCAAATTCAAACATGTTGTTTAAATAAAATTCAGAGTTTCTGTCTCATATCAAAAGGCCATTGGTGCAAGACAGAAGAAAACAAAACCTGGGACTACTATTGTCTTAACTCTGTATTCTCCAAAATCCTAATTTTCCTCATTCTTAATTTCATCCTTATTGTTACCTTTCCCTGTATGTTTACCTATGTAATTTAAACTTTCTATGCTGATATCAATGTTTAAGTCCTCCACATTGAACAAAAAAATTCATAACAGCAATCTTTGAACTATGCGGAAAGAAGATGGTGCCCCACTTCATCGATTCAACTTGATGCCTCTGAACTAACAAACACCACCATAAAACCGATTTGGGACAATAAGGCTCAAG